TCTCCCCCCCCCCCCCCGGAACACATCTAGCTAGCATATGTCATGCCTCTTCCTTTCAATAGGAAACTTCGCCCCAGATCAACGTTCCATTAAGCCTATTCTTGAGAGATGGGGGCCTGGATGCCCCCCCACCCCGTTACTCCCCACGGCACGTGAAATCTGGACAAGGTCCGTGGACCTCTCTCCAGGCCAGATATGGAACAGCTCTGTGCCAACATTTGGGTGTCCATGCTGGGGGTTAGGGAGCAGGGCCGGCCAGGGATGGCCAAGTCCGCCTCCGAGAGTGACCCCTGGGGCCAGGGTGCAGGAAGAATAATGGGAAGAGGAGATGAGGGGGAGCCCCTTCAGGTGGGGAGACACGGGGTCCTGCCATGCAGCCCCGCCCCCAGGACCCAGCCCAGGGCTCTAAATCCAGCACCGAACTGTGTAAGTATCACTAACACGGCCTCCTGCACTCCGCCGCCCTGGGCCCATCCCTGTCTCCCAGCCTCCCGCTGCGGCCAGTCCCCCAGGTCAATAATTTAGCCTGTTTATGGCCCGCTCCCGGGTGGCTTCCAGGGCCTGGCTCCCTGATCGCTTGCGGCTGCGTTTGAGTTTGCACAAGTCCTTGTCGAAAACTTCGCCCGAGCGCAGGGCTGACACCAGGTCATCAAACTCGCCACCCTCGTCCAGCGCGCTGCCCGCGTGCACCTTCCGCTGGCGCTGCCACCGCTCCCGCTCTCGCTGCTCCTTCAGCTGGAGGGGCGAGGAGGGCGGGTGAGAGGCCGCGGCTCAGCACATCCACCGTGGTCCAGGCCACAGACACCTGCCCTCCTTCGCGGGTTGACGCCTGGGCTGGGCTGGGTCTACCAACTGGGCCCACTTTCCCCCTTGCTAGGGCACCCTGAGCCTCCCGCCGTCCACGCGCTCTCCACTCCCTCAGCCCTGCTCAGGCCCAGGCCCCGGCCCCAGCAGCACCCTCACCATGGCCTCCATGCGCGCCCGTCGTTCCTCCTCCTCCTTCCTTCTCCGCATGGCCTCCAGGTCCTGCCGGGCCTCTGAGAAGGCCTGCAGGAAGGTGTCGAAGATGCCGAAGAATTCATCTGGCTGCATCTTGCTGTCCTGTTCCCCAAAGTGCATCAGGGCCTTGGAGAACTGTTGAAGAGAAGGGTTGGTGGAGAGTCCCCCCCCACCCCCGAGCCTGGTGGGCAGTTGAATTCCAGCCAGAGCAGAGCTCATCCACGTGGGGGGGCTTGGGGGGCAGGGCTAGAGAGGGGAGGCTCCCCCCTCACATCATCAGGGTAAGGACAAGGCTGAAGAAGGAAAGGCTTGAGGCTGACACCTGGGAGGTGGGAGACCCAGGCTGGCTGACAGAGGCTGCCCAGAGTGACCTCTGGGTCTGTTAGGGTGTAGGTACAGGACCAGGAGCTGCAGACCTTGGGAAGCACTTCCTAAGGTCAGGACCAAAAGGATGTCAGATCGTCTAGTTATCGGGCTAGTTATTTAACCCCTCTGTGCCTCGGTTTCTTCATCTGTAAAATGGGGATAATAATAGGACCTACTTTATAGTGTTGTGAGGGGGTTAAGTGAGTTAGTGATGCAGAGTGCTAGCTACATACCTGGCCCTATTACTGAGAACTACCATCTCTAATTCAACCTACTGAAAACACTCTAAGAAAGCCCTCACTACTCTAAGTGTGCTCCCTGGACCAGCGGCACGGGCGTTTCCCCGGGAGCTGGTTAGAAAGGCTGAATCTCAGGCTCCACCCCCGACCTCCTGAATGAGGACCC